ATTTGTACATATTTGTAGGGATGCCATCTGTGCCTGCTGCCTTGCCCTGGGACATCTGTTCAGTAGCTCTAAGAGCATCTGCTGTAAGTGCTGGTGCTGCTCCTTGAAAGAGGCTGTGGGGCTTCATTTGGCACTTGATCAGGGATGACGGAAGTTGTAAAGTCAGAATGATAACTCTGCTTTATTTATGTTTGAAAGTGATAGAAGATTTCTAGAATTGAGTGCAAAAAAGTAGTTTTGCTTTAGCTCTTGTAGCTCTTATCAGAACATTTAATCAGTTTTGTGCTTACCAGATGGTGCCCTTTCTTCATTGTGGGATATTTTAGTGTCTCGTGATGGGTGTTAGCATCGTAAAGATAAGAACAAAAAGTGCTGTATGCTCTGAGGATATTCAGAAGGAGATATATGCCAGAGCTCTTCTTGGGGTCCGTGAGCCCTCCCTTGTTTTGCCACTTCCACAATCTGACAGCGGTAAAATCTTTGAATGGAACCTGATGTTGTTTGTCACAGGTTAAGATCACTGCTGTGGTAGATGTGATGAATAGGTGAATATGTTTCTTTAATGCAGGTGGTGATTTAAGCCAACTCACCTTCTAGAAATACTTTGCTTTTTTGCTTCAGGTGTCTTACATGCTCTTACTTAATGTTGATAATTACTTTTCCAATATTTTGGTCATTGCATCCTTGGCAGCTGTTTCCAACTTACAGCATACTTTTAGACACCTTTTTCTGTTGATCTGGAAGTGGAATGAGCTATCAAATGCACAGGTAAATATTCACTATGGTTGTAATTAAAAGAAGGGGAAAAAGAAAAAAAAATCATTAGCCATCACTGAGTCAGGCTTTATCCTCTCATAAGAATTTTCACGTGTGAGGTACCTAGGGGTTGCAAAAGTTGTCAGAAGGAACTGTAAAGCATCTTGAGTCGATTGTGGCATAATACTGTCCTTCTGTAAAGCACATTGCATCATCTTAAAATATCCCAACTTTTTTGCTGTGCATAAAATCAATCTGAATTTAGCAACGTGTTTTTCTCTTACACATTGGGATTTGAATGACAGACTCTAGGCAGACCTATAAAAAGCATTTGAATTCTATAATTGTATAAAAGAAACCAGCAGTAGCTTACGTGCTTAGTAAATATGGAAATTCTAGTAGCGGGAAAAATTCAGCCAAGGTCATATTGTATTGCTGTTCCATAAAGAACGAGCTTTCTTAATGGGAATTTAATCTGTCAAAACACATGTTACTTTTGATCACTGCTGTTTAAAAAAATATATATAAAAAAATCCTCATCGAGAAATAACAAGTAAAGCAATAAACCATGACTCGGTGCTAACAAGTTGAGAAGTAGATTACCATCTCGCATCTCTCTTGGAAAAGGTCTCGAGGAGGGTAGCAGGGGGCTAACTGTAGCAGCAAGTTGACACACAGGCTTCATGCAGATGTGGTGCAGAAGCAGAATGATTTGTAATGCTTGGGAATCTCCGTTGGGCCTTTCATATGGGTCTCATGGGAACACCGAACGTTCACGTTTGCCTGCTCATGGTGCATTTATTCAGGTGGTCCCAGATGCTGGTGTCCTTTCAGGAGCCCTGACTTGTACTGTTCCTATGTTTTCTTCTTCCTCTCAAAATATTGGGAAGTACCAACAAAACACCTCTTAGAGATATAGTTCATTTTCTTGCCTCTTGTATGGCAGCTTCTGTTAATTTCTCCCCATTGTTTACCTGTTAGTTTATAGTAGATGAAAACTTGTGCAATGACATTTCAAGACAAAGATTAGATAGATACTAAAAAAAAAAAATAAAATCCATTTATTTTCTCTGGCTTTACTAATTACTTTCTCACAGGTTGATGATTTTTTTGCCTAAGCTTATGTTTTTCCACTCGTGTGTTCCATTTCACAATTTGCAGATTGGAACTTGAAGACAGAGCAGGTGCATTTATTTCCAGGAGTGAATGGCCTTCAATTCATTGCTTTTGAAGAGGGTTTCCTCCAGAGTCTGGTGGGATGAGGAAAGAAAAGATGATGTTTGCTATTGAGAAAGCTATTCGCACATGAATTATGTTCTGGTAGAGAAAATACAACTACGCCTCCTGAACTGTGAACATGGTGAAGTGCATGTGTGGTCAAAATCTCGATTTGAATTTGTGCATCTTTAAAAAAAAAAAACAAAACCAAAAACAACAAACCAAACCAAAACAAAAAACAAACCCACAACAAAATAAAAGCGCAAGAGCATTGGTTTACACTGCCTTGTGTTTTTTACATACTTGAGATAGATGCATGTTGGGCTAATCCAGCCAGTTTCTGCTGTTGGGATTTTGTTGATGGTTGTTTACTGATGTTTGAGTGTAACTGCTTCTGATTTGCACTTGTTGAAGGGTGGTGAAAAATAGGTGCAGAATTTGTCTGTTGTCATCCTCCTTTTCCTGTCACTGAAGAGGTAAAACATGGTGTTTTATACAGTCCTGTGGCACTTAGCAGCGCGTTAGGTGTATGTATATAAAAATGTTAGTACTTCTACAGTAAATTTTAACTGGTCACTTCTGTGCTAGATAAATTAGTCAGAAGATAGACAACAAAGTCTGTGCGTAAGCAACAAGCTGGTTTTAGACCTGGAGTAACTATTGACGCTAAAGCTTGTCAGATGAGAAACTAGGTGGCTTTGCAATTCTCTACACTGTTCAAGTAAGAGAGCAGAGATGCGATTAAGTACAGTATCCAACTGACCTTTCCAGGGCTGGACTGTTGCCTTTTTATTAACAAATGAAACATTGTGTAGCAAGTGATTAGCTCGGTGGCTGTAAGAGGTTATGAAGGATGACCGCAGGAAGCAATGTGCTTCCTGCTACAGGAGCTTGTCTTGCTCTCAGGCTCTTAAGCGTCTATGATCAACCATGCAAATATTTATTTATTTATTTATGCAAATCCTGTGGGTGTGGGAGAGATACTAGAATGTTATGTAGCTCTCCCTCATTTTTTGAAGTTTTTTTGCCTCACTGCTGTTTATTTGAACAAGAAAGAAAGAAAGTCTCTTTAATGACTTCCTTTTGTGCTTTGACAGCAGATGGCAATTATGAAACATTTAACTTTGTAAGTATGACTGACAATACTTGTCCTAGTGCTTTCCTGGCTTGCAAATGCCAGCAGCAGTATGTTCTGTACATTGACTGTGCTCTTACTGAGGATCAAAATAAAATAATAAAAAAATCCTCTCCAGATTTCCTATGAACGTAATTTAGGTATTTTAACGGGTGGGTGGCAGTGGTAGTCATTAATCAACGTTCTGCTCTCCAGTTTAGAAAACTCCTGTTTCTCTGCCCTCCTTGTGCCTTATGTGCATGAAGCAGGCCAGTTCCTTCACAACACCAGTCTTTCTTATTTTTTCCACTCTGTACTGCATGTATTTTATTTGTATGTATGCCTGCTGTGTTTTCATTCTGGTTTGGTTTTGCCTTTATCTGCCTGTGACTATTTTTACTTTGACACTTGAGCCTTTGATTCGGGTGACCTGATAATGCTCATGTGTTGCACGAGAAATGTGATGGCAAAGCGCTGGAAGGATGAAGGAGGGTTTGAGTTTCTCTTTTGGTCATGATTTATTGTCTTGGTGTTCCCCTTCCCGGTCTGTTGCGATCTTTTGAACAGATTCCCAGCTAGCGTTTTATCTCGATAAATTCCTCCCTAAGAACTCCGTTTTTCCATTTTCATTTTCCAAAAAGCCTCCATTTCATTGGTAAGAGGTATTCCTGATGAAGTGCACACACCTCATGTAACACTTGTGCACACTGGCTATTACGGTCTTTGTACAGCTGAACAGTGTAAAAAGGCTTGTCTGACAATGAAAATTGGCACCGGGATACTTGGATACTTACTTTTTTGTGTTGCATTTATTTTTTTGAAGTGGATTTTATTACTGTAATTATTATTTTATTTTTTTACCCCAAACTAGCACCCGTCTTTCAACTGCCATGCTAAATTGGCATTGTCTGGCAGGGAAAAACATGATGCTGTGGATGTAGACGTGGGTAGGGACAAGCTGGACAACCTAACACCTGCACTTAGTTGTAGAGCTATTGCTACTATAAAAGGAGGTCTGTATCTCCTCCTTTCTAATCCAGGGCTTCATTTTAGCAGGAAAAAAGAGCGCCTTGATGTGATATGCTCTAAGTACTCTGTGGGATCTGAGGTTCAAGAGGAGGCTTTGCTATTTACACTGTCAATGTGCTACCACCTGCAAGGGCTAAATTGGCCCTAGAGGAAGAATTGGCTCCTCCCGCTGGCGTGAAGCCAGTCAATAGCTGTACTTCGTCAGCTTTCCTATGACTGGTGACAACTGGCTGGAGGTTTTGATTGTGCATACCAGGTGTTGAGGCACCTAATCCAGCCAGGAGGTTTGGTTCCCTTGTAAAGCTCAACAATTACAGCTGTAGCAATAAAAGTCAGAGGAGGAGTTAAGCACAATTGCAAGTAGGGGAGTCCTAAAAGTAAACATTTTTTTTTTTTTTTAAAAAGTGGATTTGCAAATAGTATATACAAATTTAATGATTACCTGGCGCTTTCCTACCTTAATGGCTTTTTGTTTGTTTGTTGGTAATGATATGTACAGTTCTTCATTTTTACATTTCCTACAAATCCTATGTTCATACAAAATATCTTGGTGAACAGAATAAGGATAATTTTCTTGTAGTTTAACCTGTTCTATGGCTAAAAAGAGGACCTCAGTTTCCAGGACTATCAAATGGTGTTTTGAATGTGAGCTGTTTTTGCATAAATGCTATTGCTATTTTTGTGATACACTGGATGTATAGTCCCGTCTCTCTGCCTCTTTTAAAAAACTGAACGGGTAGCTAATCCATGCTGAGTAACCTCTTTAGATTGTGACCTTCCATGTGCTGTTTGCTTAAAGAAGTCTATGAATTAAGAAGAAAATGACAGGAGCAATGCATAAACCAAAACATGGAACTGATTCTTTTTCATGTTTTCAATACAGCTATTTTGAACTGGAGAGCAGTGGCCTACGGGATGAGATTAGATACCACTACAGGTTTAATGGGAAGTCAAGAACAGAAGTGTTCCCGTACCGTCTGGCAGATGGGCAGTGGCACAAGATTGCTGTGTCACTTAGTGCATCCCACCTTCTGCTCCACGTGGACTGCAACAGGTAAGAAAATATGTTCAGTAATTTATATTTCTTTAAAAATTGCTCTCTACTTATGCACAGGAATAAAATTGGAAAAGGAGAAATTTGTTTTTTAAATATCTAATTTACAAAGCACGGTAAACTGCCATGGGATAAAAAAAAAAAAAAAGGAAAACAAAGCATTAAAATGAAACGATTTATTGTGATTATGAACAAATGTGGAAAAGGTTGATTGCTGACTGGGGAGTATTAAATGCATCTCTGTAGTTTAGGCACTAGCTGATGTTATGTTTGACTGTGATTGCATTTAAGTGTGATAGATTGGTGTGCAGTCTGTTCTGTTGTGAACTGCTTCACTCAGCATACCTGAAAACTTGAAGAATAGATAGACATGTCAGAAGCATTTTAATTTTATTTTACATAATCAAGCAATGCACTTTTTACTGACTTTGCCACCCGTTTCCCCACTTGGAAACTTCTGAGAAACCTGGAAGCTTCTTTTTGCATGCCTAGAACTGGTGCTTTTTATTTTCTGAAGGGTATTCTGTCTGTCATGGCACTTTTTTTACTTTAAAAGTTGTGAAGACTGCAAGATGGCAGATTGTCAGGATTTCAAGGAATAAAAGAAGCAAACCTAGAATCTCTCTTCCTTAGAATCTCTCTTCCCTTGGGACTTGATTTCACAATGTATTGAAGACTTTGGCTTTTACTAACTTAGTGGTTGATAAGGAAACTCAGAAAACTTGAAATTGGGACCTTCAAAATAGTCTTTAGGAACAAGGAAAATGATCCACTACTTTTGTGTTGTCTTGCACTGAAATGAATTTAAAAATATCCTTTGCCTTCAGTTGGAAGATCAGCATATGGATTTTGGAATTGTGGCACTTAAATCGGATAGGGTGATGGTGGAAGATATTTCTTTCTAAAGTCTTTGTTGTGTTCAGGCAGGCAGAATAAAGTTACGTGATTATTATGGGAGTATGTGGTATGGGAACATTTGAAAAAGCTTTAGTTTTGACCAAAGTAATTATGAGATACTATTTTGAGAAGGAAGTTACAAGTGTTTTCTGCAACTGCATTAACTGAAGAAAGGTTGCTTATTGAATGCTTTTATTTGGACCTTAGAAGCAATTAAATGCTTAGAGCAATTTTAATTTCATTGAGGCATGAAATCTACAATTTGTAAAGATCGTCTTCATTTCAGTCATCTGATTTATTGTACCATTATTTATTTCTGTTATATTAGTTCTTTGCTTACAACAGGATACTGTTTTGTTTGTTTATTGACATACTCAGTTTTGGGATAGATTCTTCATTTTATCCTATGATTTATTTATTTTTTTTATGAACAGCAAATGTGTTTTATGAAGACCCTTTTTAGCAGATTGTTTTTCTGGCTGTCGCCTTGCATGCAATGTGAAAGGAAGACAACACAAAAAGCCTGCCTGGTGGAGATGTCTGTCCAGGCACAAGAGAGCTGCACAGAGTCATGGTTGTGACCTGATTTTCTTTATAGCAACAGGCAGCAATAGATAAATACAATTACAGGCTGAACCGTGCTGTCATGTGAGGTGATAAACGTGTACAGTTGACTGTCAGGTAGCCCTAAACAGGGCTGATCTATCTAAGAGTTTCCCTTAAGGTGGCACATCTCAAGGCTGCTCCTAGCATAAATCCATGCCTAAATGCCTCTGTTTGGCTGTGAATTTGTGGTAGTTTATGATAAATCCTGTGGAAAAGTAAGGGGAATAGTTTTGAAAGCATGACTTGAGGGCAGATCATAGTAGAAGTTTAAATGGTGGGGGAAGGAAGTCTTTAAGTTCCTGACTCTGCTGTAGCACCTCTGTTCACTTTATTAGAGAATTTTGTGAATGTTGGTGTCATAGTTTCCTTTATTATATCTTAACCGCCTACATCTTTGCACTCGGAAGGGGACCCAACATTTCCTTGTTCATCTTTACACTAGCATTTCCTGATGACACTACAATAAACATCAAAAGACGTGAAAAGGAAGAGGTACTTCTGAGCACTACAGGAAATCCTAAGCCTTCCTCATGGTAGTGTTAGGAGAGTTGCAGCTGAAAGTATGCACAGAATCCAGTGTTGAGCTGTAGGTTTTACGCGTAAATGTCACCATTTTGGGCTAGCGTGTTGTCACCGGCTCTCAGCAGAGTTCTGATACTTCTGCAGACTTCAGTGAACAAGTCAATT